GATCACTTTCCATTACGGTATGCTTATACCTTAAGTGACAGCATAGAATGTTTTTTAGTACCTTGTTAATTGTTCCCAGGCACAATCCACGGCAAGAGCCAGGTAAGTCATGGCAATACCACTTTCTAGTGAAGGCCGACTCCGACCTGTGTGGCCCACAGAGGCAACGGAGCCAGAGCCCATTCCCTTCTGCTCCACATCTGGGTCTATCCTGAGGGCCCCATCATCTTCTCTTCCCGACTGAGCTTTCCTCCTTGAATCTGACGGGAGGAAGACCTCCCTCGGGAGCTGTCAAACTCCAAAGATGCAAAGCCCCTTCAGACACACTGAAGGTGTTGTAGGAACGTGGTTCACTAAAACGCAAGCATGCCGAAGCCTGCCTCCAGTACAAATGAGATGGAAGCTTGGGTCCTGGGAGACTCCACTGCCTGAAAGCAAGGCCCTTCCAATAGTAAACTGTTTAAACCCCGATGAGTGCGCCCCATTCATTACCGGTGTTTGGGAACACTGATGGGGTCACTGGGATTGTAGTAATTCCGTCCAATTTGTTGCAGATTCATTATTTTCAACACTCTGAAAAAGAAAACCCCCAAAAAGACGGGTTATGTATATGTATATCATGTATCAGAACATACTATCACATCCAGGGTAACAGGCATGGAAAATGCTCGTTTGGGGAAGGCTTGGCTGTAAGTGTCTGCCCGTCCCTCAAAGGCAGGGAAGGCAGGAGGGCCCTTGGAAGGTCCAGAGAGGCCTCACGGGAGGGAAAAAGGAGGCAGAGAAGGGATGGAGAAGTCCTTCCTCCCCAGGAAAGCACATCCATGTGCACTGCAGGCTGCAAAGTGGAGGAGCCTGGCTCCAGGGCCCTTGCCTCCTCCCCCTGCGAGGCACCCGACAGGGCTCACTGAGCGTGGCTGCACCTCCCACACCAGGACGGCCTTGAGAAAGGGTCACAGCTCAGGGGAACCCACAATGCACAGCAGAACCACATGAGCCTTTCCGATGTAAGGGACACCTTGGGAGACATGAGGTTGGAAGAGGGGCAAGAAGAGCTGTTGACTCATTATGGGATACTCCTCACACAGCTTTCTAAAAGGAGGAAGGAACTAGCGGAAGTCATTTCGGAACCATTGGCAACCATCTTTGAGAGTTCTTGGAGAACGGGAGAAGTTCCAGCAGATTGGAGGAGGGCCAATGTGGTCCCAATCTTCAAGAAGGGAAAAAGGATGACCCAAACAACTACCGTCCGGTCAGCCTCACGTCGATACCGGGCAAGATTCTGGAAAAGATTGTTAAGGAAGCGGTCTGCAAACACTTAGAAACAAATGCAGTCATCGCTAATAGTCAACATGGATTTATCAAAAACAAGTCATGCCAGGCTCATCTGATCTCTTTCTTCGATAGAGCTACAAGCTGGGTAGATGCGGGGAATGATGCCGTGGATGGAGCGTACCTGGATTTCAGGAAGGCCTTCTTTGACAAGGTCCCCCATGACCTTCTGGCAAGGAAACTAGTCCAATGTGGGCGAGGCAAAACTACGGTGAGGTGGATCTGTAATTGGTTAAGTGGACGAACACAGAGAGTGCTCACTAATGCTTCCTCTTCATCTTGGAAAGAAGTGACAAGTGGAGTGCCGCAGGGTTCCGTCCTGGGCCCGGTCCTGTTCAACATCTTATTAATGACTTAGATGAAGGGCTAGAAGGCATGATCATCAAGTTTGCAGACGGGACCAAATTGGGAGGGAGAGCCAATACTCCAGAGGACAGGAGCAGGATTCAAAACGATCTTGACAGATTAGAGAGATGGGCCAAAACTAACAAAATGAAGTTCAACAGTGACAAATGCAAGATACTCCACTTTGGCAGAAAAAATGAAATGCAAATATACAGAATGGGGGACGCCTGGCTCGAGAGCAGTACGTGTGAAAAAGATCTTGGAGTCCTCGTGGACAACAAGTTAAACATGAGCCAACAATGTGATGTGGCGGCAAAAAAAGCCAATGGGATTTTGGCCTGCATCAATAGGAGCATAGTGTCTAGATCTAAGGAAGTAATGCTACCCCTCTACTCTGCTTTGGTTAGACCACATCTGGAATATTGTGTCCAATTCTGGGCACCACAATTCAAGAGAGATATTGACAAGCTGGAATGTGTCCAGAGGAGGGCGACTAAAATGATCAAGGGTCTGGAGAACAAACCCTATGAGGAGCGGCTTAGGGAACTGGGCATGTTTAGCCTGAAGAAGAGAAGGCTGAGAGGAGATATGATAGCCATGTATAAATATGTGAGAGGTAGCCACAGGGAAGTCTCTGCCCCGGAGTGTGGTGGAGGCTCCTTTGGAAGCTTTTAAACAGAGGCTGGATGGCCATCTGTCAGGGGTGATTTGAATGCAATATTCCTGCTTCTTGGCAGGGGGTTGGACTGGATGGCCCATGAGGTCTCTTCCAACTCTTTGATTCTATGATTCTATGGGAGGCATGCCAGTTTCCTGCCCTGAAGCAGCAGAGAATCTAGGAAGACGGGCCTCCAAAACAGAGAAGGAACATTTGCTGCAAAGCACGCTTGCAGGCCTATGGCTGAGAGAGCTTTTCCTAACGGGAATTCTAGGCATCCGAGCCAACCTTCTGAAAATAATGTTGTAGAACTGCAGGCACGTTGGCGAGGTCGATGGCAACTCATTGGTTAAGGTGATGATAATCTTCACCGTCTCTCCCTGGCGGGTCTGGCTGTACACTTCCGTCACCTAAAGAACATCAACAGAAGCCGCACTGACACCTTGACTAAGATGCAAAAGGACGCAAACACAGACGACCCCGGGCTGCCGGGCTCAGTTCGGTCCTTTGTGCTTGTCGCCCTTCCCAGCTGAAACACAAAAGCCAGGGGCACACACAGGCCTTCCTTCTGGGAACACTATGCTCCGGAAATACAGACATCAGGATTCCTGACCCTCCAGGTTTTGGGGCGCAATGCGTGCAAGTGCTGGCCTGCCTGGGCACAAAGCCAGGGGTCCCCAGAGCCCTCAGGAAGAGATGTGCTTGCCCTGCTGGTCTGCTCTTTGAGAGCCTGTTCCCGTGCCCTGAGGGCGGGCAGGCAGTGTGTGCTCCTGGAGCAGAGGGGCCAAAGAAGAGGGTCTTCTTCCTCCCGGGGGGAGTCAGGAGCCCCTGCTCCAGGTGGAGGCTGAGCCCTTGGCTGCACCTCAGTCTCTGGAGCTCCCTGAAGAGGAACAAGGCATTTTGGGGAGGGCACTTCACGGAGGAGGAGGCCTGGGATGCTGTCCGTGTGGAATAGCCAATACGGATGCAGAGGGAGCAGCTGCAGTGAAGCGCACACTCTCTGCCGTGCCTCAGCTGCCTGGCAGAATGCGGGACGGTGGGGCCCTGCCATTTCCTCCCACCTCTCTCACATTCTTGTTCTACACCACTGATGAATCAAATGCGCTCTGCATTGGTCAGAGGCATCCCCACAGAGGTGCCAGGCCATCCCGCCCACTGAGACCCCGAATGTCTGGGTGGGCCCCCCACCTTGTTCCCCACTTTCTTGGGCAGGAACAGGATGGTCCCGTCAAAGGCGTGCGTCCTGCCAAGGAGGTCCTCGTGCTGGAACAGGAGGGCGCAGCGCAGGCGCCGAGACTCCATGGGCGGGCTGAAGTCAATGTGGTACTGGTACAAGGTCCACTGGGGGCGCGAAGTCAGGCGGAAGTGGTTGGTGCTCAAGGCGATGGCAGTCCCCGAAACTCCTGCAAAGACACGTCCGCTCCTATTAGCCACCTATGGCCGGGCAGCAGCCTTTCAACCGCTTTGCCACCAGCTCCCTCGGCATCCAGGGAAGAGGAAGGAGGGGGCAGGAAACACCTCCACTTCCACCATTCCTTGGGAAGGATGACACCAACACGGCCACCTGGGAGCAGCTGTGCCCTTCCCAGCCAGAGGAAGGAAGGAAGGAGCAGACAGAAGGACCCCACCCCCCTTTCTCTGACCTCCCCCTCTATGAGCAGAGCTGAAAAGCAGCCACTGAGAAGGGTGGAGGCCCCCTCCCTGCCAACCCAGAATGCAATTCCACCTAAGAGACTCCCGTGGGGCATTCTCTACTTTACTCAGAGGAATCAGCACAAGGCGGGAGTGCCCAGTTCTCTTAATAATGACACACCAAAGGGGCTGCCATTCAAAGCAACCTCCTGCCAAGTGTCCCCTAGAAGGGGGGCTTCTCTCTCTCTCCAGGCGCCGCAGAGAGCAATGGGCAGCGGAATCTGCTGCTTGAATCTACAACAGCCACCCAGACTTGCCTCTGCCGCTGGCACGCCCATCCACAGGACGTTGAAAGCATGAATTCTAAGCGGTGGCCCTCATGGCCGACCTTACAGCCCTAGGATTTCACCAAAAAGAAAAACCACGGCCTTCCCCACTACTGCAACAGTCTGAATACATTTGAAAACTTACCCACCACCCCATTTAAAATCTGATGACGGAAACATCACGTACCTGTCTTAGCCTCCTTGACATGCTCAATGGACTGGCGGGTGTAGACACCGATGTCATTATAATTCCTTCTATACCCGCCTCTCTCGCCCAACTTCATCTCTTGAAACCCGGCTGAGATTTCCAGCTCTGGAATGGGAAAGGAAAGCAGCTGTCCCTTGCATTCCCGATACTTTGCCCATTGCCACCCTACCCAAGCGGAAAAGCACGTATCAGCCCCCGCCTCTTGGCAGCCCAGAGCTGAACCAACCCCAAAGGTCGCTGTTTTAGCACGACAACACATAATCACCACCTCTAAACTGAGTCCCAGAGAAGGTCAGAGCTGAGAGTTCTGAAGGACTTGGCCATGAAGGATAGCCTAGGGTGATGAAGGACGCGGAGGAGGTCCAGTCGGAAAGCCCTTGCTCCATGCAGTCTGTGCAGCAGAGGCACTGCACAAACACCACAATGACGGCCTGGCTTTCATTTTAACGCTTTGAGAGTTATTTAAGGGTATAAAAAAATAATCACAGACTTTTAAAAAATCCACCTGAATTTCACAAAAACTGGGAAAGTGTGTTCCCTGATGGGGACAGGAACACATTGTGTAATATAAGCAGCACTCTTCCTCTGGAAATTAGATGGGTATTTAGGAAGAACCCCATGGGACGTGAGCCTCTCCTTACCCTTGGCCGCATCCTGTGCAGGCAGCCCTCCTCCTCCTCCTCTCTGGCGCCCGCGACCAATGAGCGGCCCTTCTGCCGGCGGCTCCGGCTGAGGCTGCTGCCCAGGCCGAGGGGTTCCATAACCCAAGAGAGGCCTAAGCTGTATCCGGGATGACAAGAGAACAATGGCAGGCGCATTATTATTATTAAACTTTATTTGTACCCCACTAGCATCTCCCAAAGGACTCGATGCGGCTTACAAAGGCCAAGGCCTCAACACAACAACAACAAACAATAACAATACGATGCAAGCAAATTAAAAACATAAGCAATAACACAAGAAAACATTATACTATTATGCAATAAAATCAGGGCCGGGCCAATGAAGGGTACAGGTTAAAAGTGCTGGGTGTGTGAAGTGGTATGTTGGAATACTGGGCAAGTGCAATGTGCAGAGGGTATTAAACTCTAATAAAGTGCTTCTGGGACATAGTGCTGGGGGTTATCCTATTCTTGGAATAACCAAGTCTTCAAGTTCTTCCTAAAGACTGCCAATGTGGGTGCTAGTCTAATGTCTTTGGGGAGGGTGTTCTAAAGTCGGGGGGCAACCACAGAGAAGGCCCTGTCCCTCGTCCCCATCAAACGCGCCTGCGACGTAGGTGGAATCGTGAGCAGGGCCTCTCCAGATGAACGAAGGGAGCGCGTGCGTTCGTAAACGGAGATGCGGTCACGCAGGTAGGCAGGTCCCAAACCGTTTAGGGCTTTGTAGGTAAGCACCTGCACCTTGAATTGGGCTCGATAGGTAGACGGCAGCCAATGGAGTTCCTTAAACAGGAGGGTTGACCTCTCTCTGTAAGGAGCGCCAGTTCACATCCTGGCCACCGCCCGTTGAACCAGTTGGAATTTCCGAGCCGTTTTCAAGGGCAGCCCCAGGTAGAGCGCATTACAGTAATCCAATCTAGAGGTGACCAAGGCATGGACCACCCTGGCCAAATCATTGACTATGCAGCCAGACGGGTCGCTAAAGTAAGTGGCCCATGGGGCATCGGACGCTGGGAGAGGAGTCCCACAGGTGGCAGAAGACCAAGCATTTTACTGTCGGAAGCTATGGTGTGTTTGCTTTTGGGGTCCCATTAGATACTACAATGGAGATGCAAAATGGCATCCCTTAGGTAAAATGGCTGAATCCAGGTTTGCCCCCATAGCGGAACCCATGGATGCAGAGATCCAACTGTACTGGTTGTGCAATTTTGTCAGGAATTTTGACAATTGTGGTTTTTTCTCCCATTTCTGCCTTCCTTTCCTCCCCTTCCCAAATTCCTTGACCCACTGTTCCACAGGTCCACATGGAGGACACGTTTTCTTGTTTACTTATTTTCTATTAAATACACGCAGCCCTTCCCCTAGACTAGAAACCGAGGGAACGCTCAAAAAAATATGCAAAAAACAATAACAACCTGAAACACAATTAAAATCATCACTCTAAAGTAACGTATCGTTGATGGAGTTCAGAATGCTCTTTGATTGCAGGTGAACTATAAATCCCAGGAACCACAACTCCCAAATGTCAAGGTCTATTTGGGCATATTGAGTATTCATGCCAAGCTTGGTCCAGCTCCGCCATTGTTTGAATCCACTCTGAGAGGAGTGAAATGCCAGAATGCTGGATCCAATATTGAGGAGACTTTTATATGAAGGTTGTGGTAGGTTTTTCAGGCTGTATGGCCATGTTCCAGAAGCATTCTCTCCTGACGTTTCGCCTGCATCTAGGGCAGGCATCCTCAGAGGTTGTGAGGTCTGTTGGAAACTATGCAAGTGGAGTTTATATATCTGTGGAAAGTCCAAGGTGGGAGAAAGAACTCTTGTCTGTTGGAGGTAGGTGTGAATGTTTCAATTGGCCACCTTGATTAGCATTTGATGGCCTGACAGTTTTTAGGTGTGGCTTGTTCCTGCCTGGGGGAATCCATTGTTGAGAGGTGATTAGGTGTTCCTCATTGTTTCTTGTCTGGAGTTCCCCTGTGTTTGAGTGTTATTTATTTACGACATTTATATGCTGCCCGTCCCACCTCAAAGGGGACTCAGAGCGGCTTACAATACGTAAATACAAAATATATTATTAACATTGCAAAATATTAGTATTATATATTACTATACTGTAATATATCAATATACTGTAATATTATTAGTAATATTACAAGTAATATAAAATATACGATTGTATCATATTATTAACATTATATTGTATTACATTATAATATTACCAATACTATATATGTTTTATCATATTATATTAATAGCTCAGCACAAGAGACAAGATGGAACTGTCTGGGCACCTCTCTTCAATGCTATAAAATTAGAGGGTTTTTTTAAATACTGGTTTTTTAAATACTGGGAGCCAGATTTTGTTCATTTTCAGGATGTTGAAATTGTCCACATGTTTTCTGGGGATTTTAATGGCTTCTGTGTAGTCTGACATGGCAGTTCCCGATTGTTTCTTGTCTGGAGTTCCCCATGTTTGAGTGTTATTTATTTACTTACGACATTTATATGCTGCCTGTCTCACCCCAAAGGGGGCTCAGAGTGGTTTACAAGTAAATATGTAAATATGATATATTATATTAATAACACAGAAGAATGTTAGTACTGTATATTACTATATTGTACTATATCATTATATTGTAATATTGTTAGTATTATATGTAATATAAAATATATAATTATATCATATTATTATTATTATATTGTATTACCATATATTATCACTATTATATGTATATTATATTAGTATTATATATTACTATATTGTACTATACCATTATACTGTAATATTATTAGTATTATATATAATATAAAATATATAATTATATATTATTAGTATTACCATGTATTATCACTATTATATGTATATTATATTCGTATGATATATTAATATATTGTACTATAACATTATACTGTAATATTAGTATTATAAGTAATAACATGATATAAATTTATATTACATATAATACTAATATTACAGTATAATGTTATAGTACAATATAATGCAATATAGTAATATATAATACTAATATAATATACATATAATACTGATAATACATGGTAATACAATATAATACTAATAATTATATGATATAGTTATAAATTTATATTAGTATTATATTGTACTACCATATATTATCACAAGATAGACATTCTGGGGGTCAGCGAACTGAAATGGACTGGAATGGGCCACTTCACATCAGATGACCACCAGATCTACTACTGCGGACAAGAGGAACATCGAGGAAATGGAGTAGCCTTCATAATTAATAAGAAATTCGCTAAAGCGGTGCTTGGATACAACCCAAAAAATGACAGAATGATCTCAATTCGAGTGCAAGGAAAGCCTTTCAACATTACAGTGATCCAAATATACGCCCCAACCACAGCTGCTGAAGAAGCAGAAGTAGATCAGTTCTATGAGGATCTGCAGGACCTACTGGATAATACACCTAAAAGAGACATTATTTTCATTACAGGAGACTGGAATGCCAAGGTGGGAAGTCAAATGACAACTGGGATCACAGGCAAGCATGGTCTGGGAGAACAAAATGAAGCGGGACGCAGGCTGATAGAATTTTGCCAGGAAAACTCGCTGTGCATAACAAACACTCTCTTCCAACAACCTAAAAGACGGCTTTACACATGGACCTCACCAGACGGTCAACACCGAAATCAGATTGACTACATCCTTTGCAGCCAAAGGTGGCGGACATCCATCCAGTCGGTGAAAACAAGACCTGGGGCTGACTGTAGCTCAGATCACGAACTTCTTATTGCCCAATTTAGAATAAAACTAAAGAGATCAGGGAAAATACACAGACCAGTTAGATATGATCTCACTAACATTCCTAGCGAATATACAGTGGAAGTGAAGAACAGATTTGAAGGACTAGATTTAGTAAACAGAGGCCCAGAAGAACTATGGACAGAAGTCCGCGACATTGTTCAGGAGGCGGCAACAAAGTACGTCCCAAAGAAAAAGAAAACCAAGAAGGCAAAATGGTTGTCTGCTGAGACACTGGAAGTAGCCCAAGAAAGGAGGAAAGCAAAAGGAAACAGGGATAAGGGGAGATATGTCCAGTTAAATGCGCAATTCCAGAGGTTAGCCAGAAGAGATAAGGAACTATTTTTAAATAAGCAATGCATGGAAGTTGAAGAAGACAACAGAATAGGAAGGACAAGAGACCTCTTCCAGAAAATTATAAACATTGGAGGTAAATTTCAGGCAAAAATTGGTATGATAAGAAACAAAGATGGCAAGGACCTAACAGAAGCTGAAGAGATCAAGAGAAGGTGGTGAGACTATACAGAAGATCTGTATAGGAAGGATAATAATATCGAGGATAGTTTTGACGGTGTGGTGAATGAATTAGAACCAGACATCCTGAGGAGTGAGGTTGAATGGGCCTTAAGAAGCATTGCTAACAACAAGGCAGCAGGAGACGACGGGATCCCAGCTGAACTGTTTAAAATCTTAAAAGAGGATGCTGTCAAGGTGATGCATGCCATTTGCCAGCAAATATGGAAAACACAAGAATGGCCATCAGACTGGAAAAAATCAACTTATATCCCCATACCAAAAAGGAAATGCGAAAGACTGCTCAAACTTCCGTACAGTGGCCCTTATTTCTCATGCCAGTAAGGTAATGCTCAAGATCCTGCAAGGAAGACTCCAGCAATACATGGAGCGAGAGTTGCCAGATGTTCAAGCTGGGTTTAGAAAAGGCAGAGGAACGAGAGACCAGATTGCCAATCTCCGGATGCTGGAGAATGGAGAAAGGCAGGGAGTTTCAGAAAAACATCTACTTCTGCTTCATTGACTATTCTAAAGCCTTTGACTGTGTGGATCATTTATTTATTTATTTGCTGCATTTGTTGACCGCCGCTCTCAGCCCTGGGGCGACTCGCGGCGGTGTACAACATATAAAAAACAGTTTACAATAAAGCACACAAACATCAACATAACCATATTACATATTAATCTAAATTACACTAACTAATCCGCACCGTCACAACAAGGAATCATCATAGTCAATCTCATAATCCATATTCCGTTCCAAATGTCCTTACCAGTTAATGTAGCACTCATTTAAATGCCTTCTCGAATAGCCAGGTCTT